TGAACTGTGCTCAAGAACAGCTCTTTCACTTCGCCTGTTTTGTGGAGTGTCTTTTAGCGAGGGTTTTACGGTGCACTATTACTTTTAATCGGGTTCCTCGCACCGTGTCTCATTTCCTCCTCTCCCTCACTTGCGCTCCGTATAACTCACCCCAGTGTTTCTTAAGTTGTCTGTGACTCTTAAGAAATCTGGTGCACCTATTTTCCTGCAAAGAACTTTAGAGGGCACACAACCGTTTCGTGTTTGTGCTGATGTGACTGTCACATTCACGCTCCCACCTCTTCCCATCCCTTTCCATTCCCGTTTCTTCGCCGCTCTTATACCATCACAAGCCTCAGTTTCACTCCTTAGTCTCAAGTTAGGGTACAGACGGCGCCCCATTTAGGGTTGCCAGACTCTCTACAATTTTCATTTAGTTCCTCTCTTTCTCCCCACATCCCCAACTTTTTTGGAGTCAACACCTCGGCGTTTGCACTAATATCAGAATTTCAACTGAACAACGACAAACATCGCCATGTTCTCCAGAAACATTTTAAATGAGTCATAAGACATCAATAAGTATGGTAATTAGACTTGTGGACGCGTACAGTTTTCATTCCACAGCCCTACAAATCGCTTTGCGTTGAATCCTATCAACAAAATGATCAGTTTTTGTTTTTTCCTTGACAAAATATCGTGATGTTCCCGAGGAGTGTAATTGCCCGGGTACCATAGAATAAATTAGAATTTTCATATTATTTGCTCCAAAATGTTTTATTTCACGAAATATGTCCCAGAAAGTTAGCCGTCAACACTCATCTTTACTCCAACTACATTATCTCGAAATTCCGCGCATACGAATCGAACTATCAGCAGTATCACTTTCTCCACCGGTTACACAACCCTTTCCGGGTTATGAACCAATATGTAACCAACAAAAAACAAAGTAAGAAAACGAAAACGAGGTTTTATCTAAGACAGCGGCGCACCGCCGCCCTAACAGCGACCTTAACCCTCTATGCGGCTGGCGGCAGCCTGTCACGACTGCTCAAACCTCGTGAGGAAAAGCGCGCGCGCCCAGCCGGCCTGAAAAGCGAGAGTGAAATACGACGTGCGCTTAAACATCCGCGTGCGAAAAACGAGGCCTGTCCTCCTCATAAAATACGTCCAACCGATGGCGAGTCAGAATAGCAGACGTACCCCCGAAACTACGGATGCCGCGAATCCGCCCAGTTTCGAACTCGATCAGATTTCGAATATTTTTTTCTTTTTCGTCTCAGCTGCTAATTGACAAAAGTTCGACTTTTTTACGCATGCGCGAAAGTTGGAAACGCACTGACGCTACCTGGCGGGGGAAACGCACGATGTATAGTGGGCATATTGTATGGGTGTTTCGCGGTAGTCAAACTTACTAGAGCAACAAAACTTAAAAAAAAGTAAATAATGTTCGGTTTTATACTGCGTAAACAACGGTAATCACTTCATAAAATAAAGTACCTTATATATTACGTGTTTTTCAAAATTCGGAGCTTCTGTCTGTACTCCGTTTTACTTTGGAACCGAGTACAGCCGATGCTAGGATCCTATAACAACTAATCATGAACAAAAAAAAAAAAGTAAGAAAAGACGCGTTGAATTGCAGCACGTCTACTCTTTGTGATAGCAAACTCTGGATGAATGGATGCATTCGAACGGCTGTGCCCTTTATAACGGGCGGTAGCTTGCGCCACCTAGCCTAGAAACTAAAAACTAAAAGAACTTATATAGACGATAAGGGCCATGGCGATGTACCTTGGTTCCTTGGTCGCTACTCGATTGGCTTCATCAAGGTTCGACGAACCTCAGAGATCGAAAGTTCGCAAACCAGTCGAACCCCAAGGGTTCGACAGAACTGTTCGCCGCAACCGCATCCAAAACATCTGTGAGGGGCGGGGGTTCCTAAAAGAGAATTTCCGTTTGCTCTCCTGTTTTTTTTTTTTTTTTTTTTTTTTTTTTTTTTTTTCTTGACGGCTCGTTGGCTGCTCGAAACAAAGCCAGAAAGAAAAAGAAGAAAGTGTTCGCACATGTGCATTTGCTCGCATGGGACTGAAAACGTGAGTTCCACCAACGTATGTTTCGTCAGAACACGATTGAGGGCAGGCGGCAACGAGATCACGATTGTAGCCGCAACATACATGCCTATGTAATCCTGGGATCAGCTTGCCCGCGCGTAAAAAGTCTCGTTAAAACGCCCAGCTGTTTCTTTTTTCTATCTTTTTTTTATGGTACAAAATATAAAAAAGGGGAGATTTCGCCAAATTGACTACCCGTTTACCAGTTGGCGGACAAGCTAATCGATTCGTCACATTTGAATTAACATCGGGGGCAAATCGTTTTCATGACTTCGATAACGAAACCCGATAATCCGCTGACGGCTTTGCGCGTGCATCGTATCGTTACCAGGTTCCGTTATCGAAGGTGTCGGAACGATCTGTCAAAACGCTCTAATAAAGATGTGGTACCAGCGTTTCTAATCGTAAATACGATGTGTACTCGTGAGAAATGTGTCTTCACTGATTAGTACTGCGTCGTGAACCCCTCGAAGTTTTATTCTTCGGGCCATAACAAAACCCCAAGCTCTGAGAAACTTTAGGATGAGCCCAACTCCGGCGATAAGATATGATATCCACGTGCACTCACCTTAGACAAGTATTCTTATAGTTACGCATATGTCAATACTGGCATATTTACACTCACCTAGTACACAGCTCATGATACCTTCAGTTAATCCTTCTGATGTCCCAGTAACGACGACACCGGAGCCGTATAACATTTTTATATCTTTATGATAGGATCCCGGAAAAAAAAGAAAAAAAAAAAGAAAGGAACGAGACACGTGGTGGGGTTGGTGCGATTAGCTTCAAGAATAACTCCAAATGTTCTAACAAAATGAAATGGACGGATAACGTGAAAGTCGCGATCTAACACAGGGGCAAATCGCAGACTTAACGAAAAATACACACAAAAAATTGTTATTCTAGGAGATAATGAAAGTGCATTGCCGAGCGCGTCTCTGGAGGTTAGAAAACTGATAAGAGGGGATTAAAAGTCGCCACCGAGCCAAAAGAAAAGAAAGCAAGAAATCGCCAACGGGATATCAATACAAACAGTCAGGTGCATCTGGAGATTGCAACTCAAGAGTGCCAGAGTCATGGTACTGCAATATAGAACATCGGCGCGTGGGAGGCACTCGGAGCTAGAAAAGATTTCCTATACTCGGCGTCAACAATTTTGTGCTACGTTTCTTTCCAAAGCTAGGGTAGCTTTCGTAGTGCTCCAACTCCGTCACAGCTAGTCGTTCGAGCGCGAGCGAATGAGCCTAGACGTGTTTGCATATAAAATTACACAACAGTGTGTACTGTTTCGGCCCTAAAACCAAATGCACTTCGTAAAAAGTAGCGTACGCCACTTATACCGCTTCGGGTGCATACTGCATACCAGTTCAGTCGCTTTTAAGCGCTGTACTCTCTGCCCACTGGGCTGTATAGCACGTTCAGAGCAAGCACAGAAGTGGAAATCGAACTGTCTAAGCTGTTTTTGTTTTAGAAAAACAAGTGTATGTGTAAGCTTTCTTTCTTTTTTGTCGCTGCTGTAACATTTCTAATTCTAAAATCGTTGTGCTTCAACTATGATTACTTTTGAGTTCAGATTGTTAGGTACAGGGTATCTTTTATGTATCTGCCCTCCCAAATATCATACCTTTCGAGATTTTAGTAAATACATAAAACCGTGCGCGAATCGCCAGCCCTGCGATTCAGCATTTCTCGCCCAGATGATAAGCGGTGAAAAAAAAAAAAAAAAAAAAAAATATATATATATATATATATATATATATATATATATATATATATATATATATATATATATATATATATATATATATATAATGTTGTTGTTTTGTGTTTCTTTTTTTTTTTTTTTTTCGAAGTTTGAGTTGTATCTTAGGTAACGTAAAAAAAGAGGATATAACTTCGGCGGAGGTAAATATTCACTCGGATAATAATTTTAATTCAAAAGAATGGCGATATCCTTCAGCAGAAGTAGACAATCCAATCAGTCTTAGAGTATGTCACCGATAGAAATGGAATGTAAATGACGAACTGCCTGAAAATAATCGGGCGCACCCTGCCGACCAGCCAATTCGCATTCCGCAAAAGATTTAAAAATATATATAGTTATTTTTTTTCGCGGCGTCGTAGGCGTTGCCGTGCCTCCGTAAGTGAATAAGAATGAATGGCTACGCCGTAAAAATTTGCATATCTGTCCAACTTCTCGCAGACGACGGCAAATGTCCTTGCTCCAGCGGGACGCGTATTTCTGGAGTTTCTTTTTTCTCTTTCTATTCGCGTAATGCCAACATTCAGCACAAATAAAGTTCACAAAAGCCAATCGTATGCTAATATAGTAGCTAACTTATTAGTGACATTTCTGATTTAAACAAAACATAGGTACGAACCATATACACTACTGCTCAATTTAAATGGTACCCTAGATGTATTAAAGGCCTCGAAAAAAAAAAAGAATATCTGAATTAACATTTTATTAAACAGTGCATATTTATGCGTTGTTGTTGTTTTGAATTTTTTTTTAAATTCCTGTAATGTCAAGAATTTAGTACCGACAACTTGAAGAGCTATTCAACTTCTGACCAACATGTGATATTTCCGATTTCAATAGAAACGAGATATTCATACGAGCCACACCGCCACTACTTGCAACTGCGAGTACATTGGCGCTCTAGTCGTATCAGGGCCTTCAAAACAGAATATATTGAGATCTTGCTGTACTGTTTGTTCACCGAATAAACAAAGATCGTACTGCTGCGAACACGTGATGCGTTGCTCGATTATTAAGAATAATTAAAAAAAAGATGAGGGGGGGGGGGGGGGGGGGAGGGGGCGCACAACAAGGCGCTAAATATGTGCGCTCGCTCGATGCCCACCCAGGAAAGCAATCATTTCGATATAGATCGCGGAGCTCACCTGTGCAAAACTCGATCGACGCTATTCCAATGCCGACGTCGATCCAGCCGCGAAAAAGGGCTCGGTGACTTTCTCTTGGTTCTCAAGACATCCCGGCCGATAAAATCCACGGGTCCCAAAAATATTCTCCAGACTGCAGCGAGATCACACACACGGCGGCACGCAGAATGGCAAGGAACGACGCACACAAACACACGCGCGCGCCAGCGCGCCCAACGCACCACCGCAGCCCAACACGCACAAGCGAAGCCGCGGCACACGCTTGGATACGAAACAGTTGCTGCTGAGCGTTGGCCAGCGAGCTGCCGCAGACGATCCCACTGCGCGTGCGCAATGCGCATAAGGCCGCTCCGCGCGCCGTCATGCGGTGGGAACGCGAAACTACGATCGATTCTCGCTGTTCTCGCTGCTGCTTGCCCTGCCCCGGCGGCGGCGGCGAGTTGAGCGAGCGCGCAAAGAAAGTCAGGAGATTCCTCCTCGCCGTGAAGCGTTGTTACTTCCACCATTTATTTTTTCTTAGTTCCTTTTGTTTATCGTACGGCATTCGCGAAAGGGAGACTTACGACACTGAGGGGGTTAAATCGGGTGGATTGAAGCCACCGGAATATGTCTATTTCCTCGCCGCTTCGGAGTCTCTCGGACGGCAAAAATGAAACCAAAACCTAAAAGAGGAAATGACAAAGGGGGGAGGAGTCCCGTTAGCTTCGGTTTTCAATTCGTTCGCTAGATGGCGCGCGCGTCGTAATATCGTCTGCTTCTGATGATGGGCGCCGCCACATTTGTCGGCGTCTCTTTCGCGGGGACGGGGATTACAGCTTTGGGTCTCGAAGCTGTCCAGGAAAAGCAAAAAAATAAGGACATGAAGGAGAGAGTGGGTTTGAGTGAGCTGCAAGTCGGAGATTGGGTTTAGTTGAAGTGAAGCTTCGCCCATCGACCCCTTCACCGCCACTTGCGTTCTTGTAAAGGAAAGAAGTGCTCGTCGACCATTCGAGAAATCGATTACGTTGGGGATTACGGCTTGGCTTGGCTAGGCCCATCTATTTTTTTTTTTTTTTTTTTTGCTTGTTTTGAGCAGAATGAACTCCTAGGAACGGACACCGCACTAACGGTACGGGGAACGCGAACAGGTTTTTCAGCTGAAACACGTTCGAGTGGATCTTAAAAATAATAATAATAATAATAATAATAATAAGACGCGGAGCGCAAGTCTGTCTCCTTCTTGCGCAGGGGTTGCAGTGACGTCAGAACGCCGAGCTTTCATTGACTCCGATTGGAAGGATAGTGGGTAGACCTCAATGCTAGCTGCCTAGAGGTCTACCCACTATCCTTCCAGTCGGAGCCAATGGGCGCGTTCAGTAGCGCCTCCGTTGCCTCCGAACGGAGTGCCTCGAGTCGGAGTCATCGGAGCGCCTACTGAACGGCAAAAAAACCCGCGGCTCCAAACCTGCTTCTACGCAACTTCCGCTTCCTCCCCTGTGCCAGACGGTCTCCGAATAAACTGGAAGCAGACGATGGCGAGCACGATCGCTTTTATTTGACGCCGGTATTGAAGAAGTCTTTACAAGGTCGTTGAAGAAAAAGCGGGTGATTGTACACATCAGCGCTGCTGTTCGAAGCGATGCAACGCGATCGAGCCCTTCGCTTGGCGGTGCAAAGTCAGCTACTGTTATAAAAGCCGACAAAAATCGTCGACAGTACACGCAAAATACCGAGCTCAGCGAATCTACCCCGCCGGTTGCGATACTTTTATACGGCCGTAAGTTTGCTCTGCCCTTCGTAACGAACTTCCTATAAAATGTATTTGTATACAGACGGGAAGTTCGGCCGCGCTCGGCGATCAAGGTTTTGTCGGCCGAAGCGAGCCTCAGCCAACGTGCACCCCGATTTAGCTACGCAAACAAAACATTAATCGGTATCATGCTCTGCGTGAGTGTCCAACCGGCTTCCAAAGTCGCGTTCATACCCTGTTTTCCTCTGTTGAGCGCGGACAGGACTATCGTCAATATTACCGAGTTTCCGTGCAACGGCGATATCAAGAGACGGCGCGTCAAATGAACGTTTGCGTTGTTTATTAGCATATTCAAACCAAACAAAATACGGTCCAATGCATTTTCCGAAAGAGCCTTACCTCAAAAAGATATTCGAACGCGTTATTCGTCTTACCTTGAGCACTTTTCATTAACAAAAGCGAGCAAACCGCGCACCCGCTACAGAACCGAAGCAGCTTATCCCGCCATATTGTTTGTTTTTTTACTCTTTTAGCGCCGGAAATCGTCACCAGTCAGGAAATGACGTCATTTTAGCTCCTTTGACTCTACGTGCACCGTCTCCGGACTCGGTGCTTCGGAGCTTGACTCCGAAGCCCCGGAGTTACGTGCACCGGAAGTGACTTTTGGCCGTCCAGTGGAAGGAGTCAGTGACTCCTTGACTCCGGGGCCGCTACTGAACGCGCCCAATCAGAGCTCGGCGTTCTGACGTCACTGCAACCCCTGCGCAAAAAGCGGAAGAACTTGCGCTCCGCCACCGTCAATCGCTTCATTATCGAGCATATCTGCAACGATAATAAAAGCGCCGGGCTGTCTGAATTAGCGGGCAGGCTGGCAGCTCCATCTGTCGACCAGCGAGCGTACTGTGTGGCAATTTTATCAATCGTATTTCACTCCTCTTCAAGTCGAATAATAATAATAATAATGAGAAGAAGAAGGAGGAGGATGAAAAATATATCTGCAGTCAAAGAAACAATATCGTCCACACTCACAAGAAAATAAGTGTGTGTTTTTTTCGCTAATTTCTTTACCGGTTGTATGCGCATGTAAAGCGAATATACGCGTGCGCCTTGGCTACCATCCGATCGCAGATGCCGTGAGGGAAACATCACGCTGAACAGTGATGTTCAACGACGTATAGACTTCCGCTCTTTCTCGAGTTCGTGAGTCAGTCGGCGTACGAATGTCTCGCTAAGTCGTCCAGATGAAGAGGAAAAAAGTTGCGGCTCGTTGTTGTTGTTGTTGCGCAACACACAGTGTGCTTAAATTCGCGTTCGCAATACAATGTGAAGAGGAAAGGCGAAAGCGACGATAGCCTGTAAAAAAAGCTTTGTTCCGCCTCTTCGCCCGCTACATTCTACAAATCAAGAGTGATACTTTCCCGTGACGCAACTTGGAAGAGCTCGAGAAATGGCTGTACGTCGTTTTCACTTGAAAGGGGTACTCCGGCCGTTTTCTGAGCCACCCAAACAAATTGCACCTTCTGAATACCCGGACTCTAGTCTTCACAGTATGCTATTTGTCGTCTCGAAATTCAAAATTGCAATTGAGAAAACCGTAAATGAAGATAATGCCGTAACCAACATTCAAATTTCCGCGCGCTTTCAAGTGGTGCGACGTCACAAGTGGTTAGTGTTGGGTAAAGTACAGCAAAAAAATACTTCAAGTAACGTACAAAGTAAATGGGACGTGATGCACTTCAAGTTAATGTAGTAATTACATGGGAGCAATGTACTTGAAGTGAACTTTGTAAATACAATGTACTTTCAAAGTAAAGTAAAAGTATTTAACACAATCTTTCATGATGACCTTTCATTCCCCTATGCAGCGATTTTTTAACTAATATGCATTGCCCAGGGGATGATCAGGGGTCCATGACGTATTTTCAAAAATCATGGGTGCATGACCTCTTTTTGAAAACAGCGGCGAGTATATGATAAAGCCAAGTGGCCACAGAGCAGTTATTTTCAGCAATGGAGCCAAATTCAGAACTCCCTCTTCTGAATTTGGCGCTGCTTGCACTGGATGTTAGCACCCAAGGGGGTTAAATTATTAGGAGCGAGCCTGACGTCTGTCCCTTAGCTTCCGCAAGCAATCATCTCATAGAGGAGTGTCCTCTCTTTAATGGAACAAACAGTGAGTGTGCAAGCGAGCTGGAGATAATTAATCGTAATGTGATAGATGAGATTGAGACTTCGAAGTCGAAGGTAAAGACAAAAGAGAATGTCTCAAAACATTGTGACGTTCGCCGCTGTTGTCTTTTTCTTCGACTTGAAAGTTTAATTTTTCCGCACCACAGTCTAAGGTGCTAACATTATGATTAGTTTTGCTCTCCTGATATTTGAAACCTTCTCGCTTGCGCTCACCGACCGAGAAGTAGCGAGAGTTCGAAAAGCTACGGGAAAGCCTCCACCAGAACAAACGTGGCGATGCGTCGTCTGCTCACATTCCTGGTGAGAGTACAATATCCCTTCCACTATTTCTTCGGAGTTGACAAAGCATCATTTTGTGATACAAATTTAACAAAACAAAATTTGGGGAATGTACTTTGAAGTCGGGAATTGAACTTTCCTCAGAAAGTACCAGAAAAAATACTTCAAGTACAAGTTTTCTAAACCTACTTGAAGTACCAATGTACTTAAAGTACTTCTCAACAAGTGCAAGTAGTACAGCAAGGCGAGCGTTTCTTCCTCTTTTTTTTTCTGCTCTTCAGTGAATGAGTTTAAAATCATTCTTTTTTCACCATCGAACGTCTTGTAATCAGTCGGAAACCTGCTTTACTGCTGCGTTAGTTTACTGCCCACTTTGCGCCATTTCTGTCGTCGCACCTCAGTGTTGACAGTAGGGGCTCTCGGTTTGAGAAACACGATGAGAACAAAATTCTAAAATTCAATAACTTCGCGAAAAATACTTCTTTTCATTCAATACTTGAGGGACTGGTATAAGACAATTAAAAAAAATGTCAATCTGTTCAGCCAATTAAAAAAAACAGCGACCATAATAATAATAAAAAAAAAGAATCGTTGGAGTATTCGTTTAAAGGGACGTGACAGGAAGACCCCCCCCCCCCCCAATTTATTATTTTTTTATTTTTTTGCCAGTCAATTTATTATGGACTCAGAAGACTGCCCTATCAATATTTTGATACAGCGTCACGTATATTTCTTACAAAGCAAAAAAAAAAAAAAAAAAAAAAAAAAAAACGCAATTGCTTGTAATTGAAACCGAAACTCGACTGGGGAAGAAGAAATATAGAGGAGAGGTTGGGGGAAAACACCACGTAGCTGTGCAACTTTTTTTTTTTTTTTAATTAACGCGTTTGCAGCTTTTTAGAAGAGACAAAAAATGGGTATCATATTTCTTGTCTATTTTTAATATTGAGTGTGTGCTTTCGATGAGCCCCGCGACTTTGGTTATCTTTGGTGGTTGTGTCTGAACCATAGAAAACGGCACGTGACCACGGAGAAGAGAGTGAGCGCGACTCGAACCGCCTCAATTATCAA